TTTAGGAACAACAAGTTGGTATTAGATAACCAGTTACATGCTGCTTCAGTCTCTGTATTTTGTTAATAAGAAATCAGTTATCTGAGCAGCTCTACTGTTGCCAATGTGCCAATGTGGATCACAAGGCCCCACTAGTAGATGAAGAGCTACAGGCCACTAATGACTGCTGGGAGGGAAAATCAGTCTTCCCCAGGGATGAGCCTATAACTGGTTATCTAATACCACAGCCAACTCTTTTGGAGTGTTTGGCTGATCACACATATCTGTGAGCTCCTGAGAGTGCTTACAGCATGGTCCTAATGCAGTTGTGGTGCTTGTCAGGGCTGGCACTCATTCAGTATATGCCAAAGGCAAGGCAGAAAGCACTGGAACAGAATCTATTTTATTTAATATTACAATGTTTCATCTGTTTTGTTTTCACAATTGAAATTAAATTCAACAGACACGAAAATAAGACTTTCAAATGTGGTTAGGGTATATTAGTTCATCTAGTTGTAAGCAATGCTTGACAATCAGAGAACTTCCATGAAACCTGCACTGTCTTTGTTACATGTTGGCTTGCTCTTTAGAGCCTCAGAATTTTTCATTATGGCCATTTATTTATAAACAGTGATCTACAGAGAAGGGTTTGTCTTTAAAACAAAGCAAACATGCTTACTCTTCTAAACGCTGAGCCAATAAACATTAGTTCAAGTGCAAGTTACACTTGCATACTTGATACTTAAATGGCAGCAAGTGGGGAGGTATAGCTCAGCAGCAGAACAAATGCTGGGAAGTGCAAGGTTATAGGTTTGATTCTCAGCATCACAGATAGGTAGGTAGGTAGATGGAGGGAGGGAGGGGGGAGGGAGGAGAGAGAGAGAGAGAGAGAGAGAGAGAGAGAGAGAGAGAGAGAGAGGTAATCTCAGAAAGATATATTGAAAAGCCACTGTTATTTAGACAGAACCCTGAAGTGCTTCAGGATGCCTACACATTCCTTTACTGGTAAAGCTGAAGAGTACATTTTTTTCAAGAATCAGGTGTTTAATTATCAGAATCTGCCTATGCTTGTTTCTTTGTAGTCTTCGGTCGTACCGTCATCTGCTTATTGTTACTTCTTACTCAAAACATATTTATTATTGTGTTTGCCACGCATGTGTTGAACTAGTGAAGTAGAGATTACATATTCCGAGGGAATTATTGTTACTTCTTACTCAAAACATATTTATTATTGTGTTTGCCACGCATGTGTTGAACTAGTGAAGTAGAGATTACATATTCCGAGGGAAACAGCATACATAACATCAAGTGGAAGTGAGGATAAAGAGGAAACACGGAGCAGTCTTGGTAACTGTTTTACTTATAACGAACTTCACTCAGTTCCTTTTGCGTATGTCCTGTTGAGTATGACAGATTGCCACATAGATAAGGGTCATTAGAGTCTTGTGATACTGCAGTTAACCAACTCAGGACCATAAATCTCATGGCAATACAGCCTCAATGGACCGACTATTCATTGTGAGAGAAACAAGATAGTAGGATGCCTGGACGTTTCCAGTGCTGTAGATGAGAACATGATTCTATGGAATAGATGTGAACTTTTATATACTGGATTTTTAGGTCATATTTCTTGAGACTTTCAAGAGAACAAGTTAATACCCTTTGTCTTTGCATCCTAATAAATATGACACTATGTCCAGAAAGTGGAGGATATGCTCTTAACCGGTCACATCAGCAGTGAGGATTTACAGAGCAGTCAGTTCACCAACTCAGTTTCAGTCCCTTCACATTAACAGTCAAGGATCAGGCTGGCATCAGCATGTGTTATTCTTTCAACAGGATAACAGCACAGAGCCAAGTATATTCCATTCAATATGAGACTTGAATTATTTAGGAACCAGTGTCAGTCAATGACTCTAAAGAAATAATTTAATAATACAACTTCTGGTTATTTTGCTACACTCATCTGGTATACATTATTAGGTGAAGAAACGAATGGAGATCAGGTTTTTAGAACTTGGGAGTCAAATGTGTAGAATATAACATAGGTGGTTTTGGCATAGGAAAATCTGTAATCATACATCCAGACACAGAAGTCTGTTATGCTGTGATTAGGGTTCCAATGCTGAAATGAAAGATCATATTTGTTTCAGATACATATGTTCTTGACTGGAGTAGAGAACTGGAAAGATCTAGGCAAACTAAAATCTTGTTCACGTCACAATGAACATTCAGTTCGATGGGACTGCAATGCCGTGGAAAAGTGCATGGGCCCAAGTTAGTAATTGCTATAGCACGTGATTCAAATGCCCCTTATCCACATGGCAATCTGACATACTCAGTGACAGATATGCAAAAGGAAGGGAGCAAAGTTTCGAGTGATGTTAAAAGCTGGAAAATTCACATCCACGCTCTTAGATAAGATCAAATCTTCCTGGGATCTACCAAGTGCATAAGAAGTACAAATTAACAGCAAAACTCTTGTATCACAGTCAGCAAATCTTCTCATCTCAATGATTGTGCCCTACGTGTTTGTTTCTCATCAAAAGACTATCAAATCCTGATCTCAAGATTCATTTTAGAAGGTTCTGCAGCCAATGAAAAATTCTCCTTTCCACAGTAGACCTTTCAAACACCCTCTGCTTCAAACTGTAATCCACTATTATATTTTCATGTATAATATTCTACTTACATGTTTGGCTTTATTATTAAGCCAATTTTTTTAAAAATCAGCCTGTTACCAGACAGTGATGCCACATGCCTTTAGTCTCAGCACTCTGGAAGACAGAGACAGGCATATCTCTGAGTTTGAGACCAGCCTAGTCTACAGAGAAAGTTCCAGGACAGTCAGGGCTACACAGAGAAACCCTGTACGGACGGGGTGTGGGAGTGGGGAGAGAACCAAAAAACAAAACAAAATAATCAGCCTATTTAAATATTCTGTGGCTGTCATTTGCTTAAAATGTTTTATTATCTTTTTTTAAAAGATTATTTATTTTTGTGTATATGAGTACACTGTATCTGTCTTCAGACACACCAGAAGGGGGCATTGGATCCCATTACAGATGGTTGTGAGCCACCATGTGGTTGCTGGGAATTGAACTCAGAACCTCTGGAAGTGTAGCCAGTGCTTTTAACTTCTGACCCATCTCTCCAGCCTGTTTCATTATCTTTATGAACCACATTTTAAAAAATATAATGTAGCAAAATTTCAAAGCCATTTTGAAAGAAATAGCAATGTGAGAAAAGATCTTTAGTGTCTTTGGGAGCCTTCTCCCGATCAGCAGAGGTGTAAAATGACTTTGGATAACAGGGGCTGAAGTCATCCTAAAGGGAGGGCTGCTTCAGGGCGTCTGAGTCATGAAATCCATGCTCACCTGAAGAGAGACCCGCTCAGATGCTGCATTACCACCCATAAGATGTTGTAAACCATGTGTATAAGTAAAGGCTTACATTCAATTGATGGCTGGATAAAGGGAGTTTGATTTAATGTAAGACCCAAGTCCTATTTTGTTATGTTTTTATTAAGGAAAATATGTACAAGTAAAACATATTCTTTTAGAAATTTTAAATAAAAGGGGCTGGAGAGATGGCTCAGTGGTAAAGAGCACTTGTTGCTTTTGTAGAGGACCTGGCCTCAGTTCCCAGCACCCACATCATGACTAACAACTACTGTAATTCCAGTCCCATAGGACCCAATGCCCTTTTCGCGTCCACAGCTTCTGCTTGCATATGTTGCATAAACATATACACATATAAAATATCTACACACATAAAAATTTTTAAGTCACTTAAAACTTATATTAAGAGGCATTTTTTTGGTAAATCATCTTTTTTTGAGTTCAGGTTCTGACTACTATTTTTATTCATATGCCTTTCCAAGGAACAAATGAAAGACACAGTTTTTAAGTATAGAAATCAAGGTTTGATTTTTCTCCCTTCCTCTCAATTCCATTTTCAGGAGAAAATTGGCTAGGAAGCCAATCTATGTATTAAACTCTTCAAATGCTTTTATTTAAAAATGTGGCAAAGATAACAAAGTGAAATGTTGTCATTTGAAGAAAGGAGAGACCATAAGAAACAATGGTAAAATCAAGTGGCTATTAAGTGTTTTTCTCTACAGTTACATTCCATCTAATGAATAAGAAATGACTGAATCCATACGTCAATATCTTGTGTATTTATACTGAAAGAATAAACCTAGACAAAAAACCTTCAGTGGCTACTAACCTCACGAATCGTTCAATTGTAATTTTGAAGAAGTCCTGTATATGTAAGACACGTATGTTCAGGACCTGCAAATTCCTCACTACCCGTTGTAAATCTAGACTAAATTAACACCTCACGGGGACCAGAAGATAGAGAGGTAAAACATAGTCATGTCATTGGCAAAAACTCAATACGGGAAAAGTACAAGACAAGAAACTTAAGTGATGTATCAATGACAATGTAGGGTGTCTGTTGGGATCCTCACAGAAAACAGGTTCAACAGAAAGGGTGAGCCAGCTACTACACAGCCAGCCAAATGCATATTACCTGTATCTGTGATGATACTGAGAGATTTTTGTTAATCATTTTCAAGAAGGTGGTACTACATTTGTACTTTAGAAAAGCCCCTTCACCTTCCCTGGTAGTGCTAATGTTTTTACAAGATGAATTACAAAATGTCTGTGAGAGATCTTTTTCCTAACAATCTAGTTGGTGGAGGGATTGTACTGCTACAAAAGTAACAGTGGGTTTTAACTGGGCGGTAGTATTCACTGTAGCATTCTAACTTTTGGGGATGTCCTAAAACTTTCACAATGTTCAAAAACATCCAAAGGAACACTGTTACAGAATAGGAAATAGATTGCCAGGAAATGAAGGAGAGATGATATAGGCAGCAGGGGAGAGGTAAGGTGGATGTATCACATGTGCATGTATGAAAACTTCATGATGAAGCTGCAATCTCATATAATTAACATGCATGGAGAAGCTACAGAGAATTTCCAAGCTGGAGGGGAGAGACGGGAAAGACTTACCCTGTTGAATATCCTTCATTTCTAGATGTAAACTAGATATCAAGATTCCCACAGTTTGAGATCGCTTTCCATCCAATAACTTGATGATCTGTGATTTTAAATAAAAATAGAAAATGGAAGCTCAAATGATCACACAGTCATTCAGAAAGAAGAAACACTAACGACACTAAGACTTTTAGATTCACTGGTGCATTAATGGAAAAACTGACCCAGTATCACAGGCACATGACTTAATGCTTCAATGAAAAATAGTGTATCTACAATTACAGACATTTTAAAAGTAAAGAACATGCCATGCAGAATTCAGACGGCCTGACACGAACAATAAAAATCTTTAGAGTATTTTACCATCATTTTATATTTTTACTCTGATTTTTTTCTTTTAGGTTTTTAAAGACTGTGCCTCACAGCATAGACCAGCTTGGCCTAGAATTCATGACCTCTTGCCTCAGCCTCCTGAGGGCAGGGGTTACAGGAATGGGCCACAACTGGCTACTTTGACCCCTTTCTTCAAACATGAAGGTCCTGGAGAGCAAGACACATGGATTCTGATGGCTGCTGGATAAAGGCAAGCTAATCCACCCCAACTTCACTGCCCAGGCAGCCACAGAGGTATTGTGGCCCTGTCCTTACATATGTACCACGTGCTCCTTATGCTTCTGAGGAGACCTTCACATACACATCCATCTAAGATTCTACTCATTCAGCCTTGCATTTTAGCATAAATCACTTTTCTATTCAAAACCAGAAAAAAAATGGAGGAGAAACAATGAATACAAAATTATATGTCTCAGCTCCTCTTCGTTGATCACTGTTTTCTTTCTGTTTTGAAAGATTTGTTCTATGCGATTGAATTATTAGCATGGAAAGCCCACAGCAGGAAGTACACTGTTCTAAAGATCTCAGGTTTATAGTGCAATGTAGCTCATACTGCTCATTACATACTCATCACTGCATGTCACAGTTCCAAAACCTTTTCATTTTGAAGGATGTAAACTTTATCCAGAATGGCAAACTCCCAATACTATCTTCCCCCACTTAAGTCAGGTCCTCTATGGAGAGGACTCTATTTGTTCTCCTCCATTGTGGGTGAGTAAATTATTAATTAAATGTGGTGGCTTGAATAAAAATGGCTCCAATGCACTCAAATATGTGATTTCTTGGTTATTTGGGAATGGCTACCCTTGAGAGAGATATGGACCTGTGGTCTGTTGGAGGAGGTGCGTCACTGGGGATGGGCTTCACAGATTCAAATGCTCAAGCCAGGCACATTGTCTTCTTCTGTTCCTGCTGCCTATGGATCAAGATGTAGAACTCTCGGCTGCCTCTCCAGCACCATGATTGCCCGTGAGCTACCATGCTTCATCTGATGATGCTAATGGACTAAACCTCTGAAACTGTAAGCCAGCTCCATTTCAATCTTTTCCTTTTGAAAAGATGCTATGGTCATTGAGGTGTCTCCTCACAACAATAGAACATTGACAGGACTAAATTGGTGAAACCAATGAATTAAATTTCTTGCCTAGAACTCGCTAGACCCTTTGCTACTACATTAGTTGTGAACATAGGTGCAACTGACGTGTTCCTGATTTCAGTGACAAAAGTTTCACTTGCTTGCCATTGGCTAGGCTACATTTAAGCTCTTAAAATGTGCTCTTTATTATACCCAAGTATTTCCCTTCTGTTATTACTTCACTATGATTTTTTTTACTATGAAATGTTTTATACTAGTTAGGCTGAGTTTTTTTGTTTGTTTGTTTGTTTGTATCAACTTAACACAAACTCAGCTAAGAAAATGCATCTATCTGATTGGTCTATAGGCAAGTGTGTAGGGAATTTTATTGATTAATGATTGATGTGGGAGGTCCCAGCTCATTGTGGGTGGTATCACCCTTGGAGAGGTGGTCCTGAGTCGTATAAGAAAGCAGTGTGAACAAGCCATGAGGAAAAACCTAGTAAGCAGCATTCCTCTGATCCCTGCTTTTGGTTTCTTTCTCTAAGTTTCTATCTTGCGTCCCTGCCCTGACTTCCTTTGGTGATAGACTATTAGCATTTGATCAGTGTTTTATCACATGAATAGAAACTCTACTAAGACAGATGTAAAATTTTGTCAAGTGCTCTATGTCTTTTGAGATGAAGATGTGATATTTATCTTTGTCTTGTTAATATCTTCAAATTATACACACAGATAATATGTACTATATATTAATTATATGTATATATGTATAGCATTATATATACGTATATCATTTGAGTATCACAGAGTATCATAGGATCACGTGACTATAACATGATCCTTCCTATATTATCTTGAGTTTACCTTGCTAGTATTTTTTTGGGGGGGGAGGTATTCATCTATATTAGCTAAGGTCTGTGCTTTTCATTTCTTGTAGTTCCTTTAGCACCAAAGTAATCCTCATTTCATAAAGAGAATGAACCTGAAAGTATTACAATTTTAGAGTTTTGAGGAGTTTGTTAATAAATGACCTGGGATTTTCCTTGAGGTTTGGTAGACTTGTCCACAAAATGTCTTCGAGTTTTCTCTCCTGGGAGATATTGGAGTTCTGGTCAATTTTCCAGAATAAAGCTGTTCAGGTCTTCTATTTCTTCATGACACTATCATGGGTGGGTTACAGGTTTCTAGGAATTGATCCAGCTCATCCAGGTTATTCAAATTTTGGCATATCAAATATGGACATATATATTCATATTTGTTTCTTATATTTGTTCTCTCTGTGGCATCAGTTATAAACTCTGTGCTTTTGGTTTTGAGTTCACATATTTGGGTCTTTTCTCTTTTTTGTCTCTTTCCATTTAAAGATTTGTCACCTGCATCTGTCATGGAAAAGAGTTCTGATACATTTTCTAGCATGTGTCCAATCCCTTCGTTATACACTTATGTTCAATGTTTATTGTTTCACCCTCTGCTGGCTCTGGGCTTCGTCTGTTCTCCTTATACAATGTGTGAAGTTATAGTTAGGATAGTTTTCAATGTGCTTGCTCAGACTTATAAACCTTTCGTTATTTCTATTTTTGGTATCAAGTGAGGTTCAGCATGTTGTGCTTTGCTTTTGTTTGCCTCAAGCATTCTTTCTATATTCCTTTGGACTTCTTCTTTAACTCACTAGCTACTCAGAAGTCTGTTAACTTCAACTTGTTTCTTATTTTTTTCCACTTTTCCTATTGCTAGTTTTCATTCCATTGACGTGACAAAAGCTACTTGGTACATTTTTAACATCTTAAACTTGTTGAGACTTGTCTTGTGACCTAAAATTCTTTCAACCCTGGACAATGTTCCAATTGGGAAGATTGTGGGCTCCATATCTGTTAGCAGAATGCATTACCGAGTTGCCCCTGGGCATCCCCAGAGGACTGGAAGCAGAGCCATCGCTGATGTGCAAACCTATTGATATTCTGGCCTTTTACAGTATACACTTTTATTTTATGCTTATATTACTTATAGAACCAATGCTCTGTAAGTTGTATATAGGTCTCTGTTATACAGTATTGCTGAGGATATAATGGAAAGAAATATATTCAGTACAAATACAACTATCACAGTTCAAATAGGCGAACAAGAGGCAAACAGTGCTCCATGGTTACAGGAGAGACTAAGGACCCGGAAAGGCTGCAGCAGGGCGTGTCACTTTGTCGCTCCATTGTAAGGGTCTAGCACAGTATGTGCTGTTAAAACTTTGCTTTCTGAGTCTTTTGGAGTAAAGTTTTGTCAGCTTGTTTCACAGAGTTGATGCTGATATTGCGTGTGTGGATAGTTATAAGTACAAATATGTTTGGTGGGTTGCTATTCTATCACTTCATACTATCCATCTTTGTCTTTTGTGACAGTTTTTGACTTAAAATCTATTTTGTAGAGTCATATTTTCTATGAACATTTGGCTTCTGTTTTTTCTTAGCTAAGGATTTTTCAGTTTTACTTATCTTTTCGAAGAAACACTTAGATTGTGTTTTTCTACACTAACACTTTCATGCACCTTCTGTGCCTACGTCTAAAGTGAATCTCTTATGGAAGGCATACTTGCCTGGTTTTATTTTGTCAAATCTGTCAGCAACTCTTTCTTCTGATTGAAAAAAAAAAAAACAATGCGTCCAATTACATTGACAGTCCTTACTGATAAGAGCCGTAGTGCTGCCATCTTGTTAATTTCTCTGGTTTTGTACGTTGTTGTCCTTTTTTCCCTTAGGGCTTCTCCCTTTGGATTTGTTCATTCCTTACAGTGACATATGTTGGTTCCTTTCTTATTTTCTTGGATGGGCCTCTTGATAAAACCCAGTACACTTAGCACAGGATTTAGTTCAAATGCCTTATATTTGTAATAGTCTGTTTGAAGCTGGTCATTCACATACAGGACTTCTTTCTACTCTTTACTTCTTCATTGCTTTTCACTTTGTTACTGGTGTCATGAATTACATACTTTTAACTGGGCAGTCAAGAATGCATAGTGGTTAAGCTTTCTATACAATTTTTAAAGCCCTGTGAAACAATTAAAAATTATTTCCACAGAGCCATTATCATAACATTTATTTGTTTGAATATCTGTTTCACCAATGAGCTTTGCACTCATAGACTTGTGTGTGTGTGTGTGTGTGCGCGCGCGTGCGCATGCTCACCTGTGTAGTACCCTCTGCCTTGTTTCAGCTTACAGAATAAACACCTGCCTTATTTTGTATATGGCTCATCACTAAGTCAGGTGATGAAGAACTTCTGCAGTTGCTGCTCATCTTTGCTTACTTTCCTTCATAGCAAGGGACAGTTTGCTTGCATACATTACTATTGGCTGGAAGTCTTTTAGTATTTGAAACATAGCATTCTTTGGGCCTAGAATTCATTGATGAAAATTTCACTGTCAGTTATGGCGGTGTGCCTTTTAATGTAACAAGCAGCTTTTGTGTTGTGTTCAAAGCTTTTTCTCTGCCTTTTCCTTCTGAAAATTTAATTATAGTACATACTTCTGTGTCCTATTGGGTTATTCTCACTGGGGTCCATTAGACATCTAGATTCAGGAAGTCCATTTCCATACCTAGCTTCAGGCATTTTTTTCCTTTAAATGTGCATTCTGCCCCTCCTAC